CTTCAGTGCCAGGAATGGCGGGTAAGTGTGAAAACCTGGCATCTTGTCCAACAGTTTCCAACCTAAGGTCTTGGTTCTTGGTTCGTGTGCACTTCATTTGTCTAGGGGGGCTTTGGAAAGATCCAGGTGCACAGTGCCCAGCCAGCCCAATTCTATCTATTCTCTGGAGGGAGGTATTTTTCAAATGTTTCCTTGATGGTGTCGTAGATATTGGCCTTGAGAAAGATTCCCTGGTCCAAAGCATCTGCTCCTGAGTTCAGGTGGTGTTGAAAATAGGCAAACGCCTCCCCTCCCCCCAGTGCAGGCAGCTCCTTGACCTGGCAGGGAGGTGCTGTGACACACGGGGCCTAAGAAGTGCCAGATGCTGGGGGTGGATGTGGCCCCCCACTGTGCCTTCACCCACGGGATTCTTGAGGGGCCCAAGGGGGTTGACATGGGGCAATTGTCATTTCTCTTCTCCTTCATCTCTTCCTAGGAGTAGAGTGCCCAGCACCTGGGCTCTCGAAACAGATCAGGCTGGGGGCATGTTCTGGCTGTATCCCTTCCAGGATGCAAGGCCTTGAACAACTCAGTCAGTGTCCCTGAGGCTCAGTCTCTTCTAGAAAGTGGAAATGATGCTTAGAGAGTCTGTACTGTACATTCTCAGTGGGACTCTGTTGCCCCAAATGGGGTGAATTAGGTTCTTGTGGGGAAGGGCAAAATTTGTACTTAAAAAGAATAAAGATTCACATGCGATATATAAGCAGATTTAAGTGTATCTGTGATATTAAAATTTCACGAGAGTGGAGGCAATTAGGAGGAAATTTCTGGAAAGGCTCCTAAGGGCATAAGTAATTAGAAAAAGAAAAAATGGGAGTTGGGAAACCCTGCTATAGTTTAGCATCACCCTGAGGCTGAGGTTGCATGGACTGACTGTACTGTCCCTGGCCCAGAGCCAGGCCCTCAGGAGCCACTCTGCCAATGGTAGGTGTTGGAGCTGTTATTTGTCCAAGCACCCTTTCATCCCACCTATGCTTCAGAGCTGCACAAAGTTTTATTGGAATTCTGGAGAAAGATAAACAACCACACAGGACTTCATCCATGTCCAAGGCCAGACAGGAGGCCAAGTGCCATCATGAATCCGTGCACACAGGGCCCAGAATGCAGAGGGGAGCGAGCATGGTTGGCTCCTTTGTCCCTACCCACCTGTACTCTGGGGCTCAACCACATCAGGAGGCTGCTGGAAGCCTTGTTCTCAGTTGTCAGTCTTGCCTGTAGCCTCCCCGACTGATGGCATGAGAGGGGGCCCCATTCACCACTGTGAGAGCATCCTTTTGCCACTGGAGAGAAATCTAGCTAAGTGGCATCATTATGGATGGCCTCCTGTATGGAGCAAAGCATTCTGTTTATTGCTGAAAATGTAAAGATGAATGAAAGAATCAGACTCAGTTTCTGCTCCTGAGTCTGTGGGAAAACAAAGACACAATGTAGACATATTGGTGTAACATGATACAAAGGGCCCTAAGAGCTGGAAACTTGGAGAACAGCTTGAGTTGAATCCTGCAGAATGATCAAGAGTTAGCAAGGGCCAAGGAGATGAGAAGCATCCTCTGCCTGCCCAGACCATGACAAGCACATGAAATGGTAGGCCTGGGGGTGGGTGCAGGGAAGGTGGGAGGTGGGAGGTGTGAAGACAGAGGGCAAAGGAAGCTGCCAGACGGCCTGGAGTGCAGATGGCCCGGAGTCCCTCCTCCTTTGGCAACGAGGGTCCATATTCTTTCAAGAGTCAGGTGGAGGCACCTCCTGTAGTTGCCAGGGGCCTTCTCTAAGGAGCAAGGCCTTGTGGCCCTCAGGTCCCACTTCACGGGAGCACAGCTTATCTATGAAGTAGGAAGCTTATCTCCTTGCTTCTTGCATTCCCTTGCCCTCTGTGCTAATCTCACTGGCTTGTGCCCAGTTCCCTTGGTGCCACAGGACCTTTGCGTATTGTGTGAAATAGGACCCTGTTACTTATAATGGTATTGGATTAATGTCTGTCTCTGTCATTAGATTTCAGGACTGTGTTCATTTGTGTCCAATGCTATAACCTCAGCATCTAGCCTGATGCAAGCTCTCACTAAGTATCTGTGGAAGGAAGGAAGGAAGGAAGGAAGGAAGGAAGGAAAGAAGGAAGGAAGGAATTTGGCTGTGTAATGAAAACCCTCACACATATTGTATTCCTCTCCCTTGTTCCAACCCTCCCTATCCACAGGCCAGGGCCAGGGCCAGGGCCAAAACCCCCATGTTGACCACAGAAGCAACACATTCCCAGCAGGCCTTGCCGTTTAATTTGCTTCCAGTGGACAAATGCTAATTGGTGATGGTAATGAAAGCAGCCCCTTCATCTCCAAAAGCCGAAACCAGGCATGCCTGCGTCGTCTTGGCTACCAAGGTGGTGAGGGAAAGCAAGCAAGTGCCCGAGAACCGCAGACGCCCCAGCATCCAGCCGTGTGCTTATGCAGAGATGCCTCTGAGCCCTGCCCAGGGGTGCACAGGCAGTGCTGTGCAGGGTGCTTCAGGGCTGGTGGGAGGGTGGGGGCAGGACTGAGCACAGCACGCAGGGTGCAGACCCTCAGGGTGCAGACCCTCAGGTCTGAGAGGACCCAGGAGGCTCAGCTCAGGTGGGTGTTCCTTTACTGAGACCATGTGGTGATGAAAGGCACGTGGACCAGGGCTCAGATCTTGTTTATCCTTTACAAACCCTGTGTGCTTGGCACCAACTTTGCCCTCTTCAAGCCTTAGTCACCTTACCTGGAAACTGTCAGGAGAAGGAATCGGAATAGTTCTTATTCCTTGTCATTGTGAGGCCTGACTCAGAAATGTCTGTAAAATGCGTGTCACTGCGCCTGGCATGTGGAAAGTGCCCCATCCACGCTCTCCATATCACCATCTGATAAGGCAATTGTTGCCTTAAGCATCATCTTTCCAGAGCAGAAAGATCAGCTCAGTTCATCAAATATTTATATGGCTTTACAGTGACCGGGACCTATGTAGATGTCACCAAAAGATATAGAGCAGAAAGTCCCTAGTAGCAATGTGTTAAGTGACCCAAATTGGAACCGACTCAGGTGCCCATTGATAGTAGAATAAGTAAGCCGTAACTGAGCCTGCACAGAGTGGATTGGGGTGTAGCGGTCCAGATACTACAGAGTGTCTGATGGTCAGGATGTGACTTGCGGCCTCACAGATGAATCTCACAAAATGTGATGTAGGATGAAAGCGCCAAACACACAGGGCATGCTGGGTAAAGCCACTTCAGTGACACACACACTCAGGTGAACCCAACCTGTGGACTCAGCCTCTGGGGAGGAGGGTGGAATTCTACCCATGAAGGGAGGGTAATATATTGTGTTGTGGAATGAGTGATGGGTCCTCGAGCACCCATGTTGTAAAAATTAACTGGGTCACACAGTCTGATTTATGCACTCTTCTGTATCTGTGTTAAACTTCAATTAAAGGTTTGCCAAATAAGTAAGCATCTTAGCAGAGAGCATGTAGCCCCCTGGCCTGTGGCTTTGCTTTTGCTTTAGTTGATTTCGGTAACTTGTGGTCAACCATGAGCTGAATTCAATGGGAAAAGGTGGGGGATCAGTCCACATAACTTTGTTCACAGTATGTTGATTTGCAGACTTTTTACATAACTTTTATGCCAGTGTATTGTTATAATTGTTCTATTTTATTATTTTTATTATTGTTAATCTCTCACTGTGCCTAATTTATAAATTAAACTTTATCCTAGGAAAAAACATAGTCTATTCAGGATTCGGTGCTATCCATGGTGGGTTTCAGAGATACACTAAGGGTCTTGGAGTGTGTCCCCCTTGGATAAGGGGAACTATGGTCATACGTTTCTATGCTGGGGGGAGTGAGTCTACTCCTCGGCTTACCTGCCAGGGCCCCTGAGTCCACAGCAGAGGCAGAGAGGCAGGCAGCACGGGGCGGGTGGTGGAGGCCCTAACAATGGAGTTGTGTGCTAGACACAGAAGCTCCCAGAGGGGATCACAAGGGCCATCACACCAGTGCTGGCGACAGGACTCCTGTGTCCCACGTGGTTCATCCAGGAGCCACTTTCCGTCTGCCTTCCCACACGTGGCTGAGCCATAACTGCAGGCACTCAGCTCCTGTCTCCCTCCCCACCTCACCACCACCACCGCCGTTGTCCAGCCAGGATCACTAGCACACACCAGGCCCTGGCTTTCCCGGCCTCTCTGTCTGCCATGCTATAACCCAGATTCGGCACACTGTAATCTCAGGGTTTTCACAGGGCTCCCCATGTGCTCCTTGTGCACCTCAACCCTTGGGAAATACTGCTGTCCACTAGAACCAGAGCACACACGGGATCCTGACCTGAGACACACTAAAAATAGCCCAAGGCTGTCACGAAGCACCACAACTTACTGGCTTTCCCCAGTTTGTCTTCAAGACACACCTGGTTTCACTTCCAGACTTTCTTTCTACTTCCCAACATCCCTGCTCCATTTCCAATTGGCCCCTCTCCAAGTGCTCCTGGTTACCTGGTTCTCATTCCTGAATCCATGCCTCGGGATAGTCTGGGATGCCCTCCGCCCTGTTGAGGACCTCCTATTTATCTTCAAGTTCCAGCTCAAACCTTGCCTCTGTGAAGGCGTCTGACATGCTCCCCAGGGCTCTGTGGTTCTGCCCAGCGACTAGTACGTACCAGAATTAGATCACCTCCCTAAATGTCACTCTTCCATATCTGACTGTTCACGCCACCCACTGCCCTCAAGGGCAGGGCCTGCCCTGCATCCTGGCATCCTCAGGGCTTAGCACCAGCTCAGAACTGGGAGGCGATCAAGGGTGTGTTTTGACCGAGTAAAATCCATCAACACAGTCACAGTCACCCAGGCACAAGTGGCCTGCTGTGGGATGAAGGACTGTGGTGGGGACCGTCAAGGTGACCTGCACTTGATAGGTGAGAGGTAGCAACCTAACCATGCTTTTCTGTTGTTTTCTATTCCCAGTGACCTTCAGCGACTGTAAAGGAAATGACAAGCTGCGCTATGAGGTGTCAAGCCCACACTTCAGGGTGAACAGCGATGGCAGCCTAGTTGCCCTGAGAAACATAACTGCAGTGGGCAGGACCCTGTTTGTGCACGCGCGGACTCCCCATGCTGAGGACATGGCAGAACTCATGATCATCGGCGGGAAGGACATCCAGGGGTCCTTGCAGGTAACCTTGGGTGCAAGAAGAGCATTGGGTTGTCTCTCTGTCTTATGTGCAAAATGGGTCTTTATGGTATTGGCTAAGGTTATTTTTGTTATTGTTGCTGCAAATGAGAGAAATTCAACTTAAAAAATAGTAGGGGAGGAGCAGTAGGAGTTTATTGATTCATGTAACTCACACATTTCAGGGATGTCTGTGTACTGGTGCTCAAAGAATGGCAACAACTTTGGTTTGCATACATCTTGCTTTGCTGAGTCTGCTCTGAGAGGCTCACCTCTCCCTGCCTCCCAGGGTGGAGGTCTCTGCAGCTTGACCTCGTTCTCCCAGGAGGCTGAAGCCACTTGAGAGAACATCTGCCTCTTCTTGATGATGGTAACGAAGCTTTGAATCTCATTGGCTCCCGTTAGGTCCTGAGTCCTTCCCCGCACTGACCTCTGTGTTCACTGGACTATGATGCTCTAATCCTCCATGTCAGGGTCACATGTCTTTTCTTGAACCCAGGGTGGGGTCAGCCCTACCCCCTAAACACATGGATAGGGAGTAAAGGAAGAGTAATCCCTCAAAGTAAAACAGAAGCTAGCTTCAGAGGAAGAGACATGGACGTGGGGCAGGGAAGAGCGCAGTGTCCCACTGGAGTTGTGTAGCAAGGCCATTGCATATGGTGCGGCTCCCTCTTTTGCCACACACCAGCATCTGTTCCCATCAGATGCATGCGAATGCCGATCCTTACCATCCCCCACATGTGTATACAGCACATGAGTGCCGCACTGCCTCTTGGCCTCCCCGATTCTGACACTCAGAGGCTTTATGCTGCACACAAAGTCAACTCAGCTATGGCTTGGGAAGGACTCACCTATCCTCCTTCACCAGGAGCTCAGAGTCTCTGGCTTCTTGATTAAAGGATGTTTTGAAAACTACTCAACTAATGATGATAACAGTGTGGCCCGCGCTTGGCCTGCTTGGCCTTTTCTGTGCGACCCTGCATTTCCTCAGTCTTTCCGTGCCCGGTGTTCACTTATCCTTTCTTCATCTGCCACCCATGACCCTCCTTGTCTGTGATCTGGGGTCTGGTTCAGCAGTGGGGTGAGCATGGTCACACAGCTGGGGAGCAGAGATAGTACAACTGGCCACATGGAGGTGGCCTTCGGGCAGTGCTGGCTCTGTTGAGTTTGAGAGAGTCTTATAAGTTCTTGGTCTGCAGACTGGAGGGTGCACAGGCTGGGATGGCACCTCAGCGGCCATTGGCCTGGGAGCTGCCCCACTCTTCAGCATGCTCATGCAGACATGGCTGATTACCTCCGGCGTGACCTGAGTGTCTTCCCAAAGCAGTGCTTCAGGAACCTACTATCGATTCAGCATTTAAAGACATTTCTATGGATGGGATAGGATCTATTTTCCATCCCAGAACTAGACACACTCAATAATTCCCCTTCCTACCTGTGAAACTGTAGTTAAGGGTAGGTCCCAGCCCAGCAATGAATCTACAGCGTCACTGATGTTTTAAAAGAAAATGGAATGTTGGTGATGGTGCAGACCAGCCACGAGGCCCATCAACACCACAGAGGCAAGATTTTCTCTTCCTTCCTCACTGCCATCTCCATGGCATCTCACTAACCTGTGACATAAATGACTTGGCAAATACATAAAGAAGCAGAGTCACCACTATGTGCAGCAAAACGTGCTCCTCAGAAACATGAGGCAGAGAGAGACTCAGTCAGGGGCTCCCTAAGGGACCAGATGCGTCTCATTGGCAGATGTTCCTTGTGATTGGTGGCTCTTTATGTCCAGAGAAGACAAGGTCATAGTGTTTTTCTTGAAAGAGGACAGAAGGATTCTGGGTACTTCCTAGGATAACTCCCACTTGGTGGGCTGGGAGGCCGGGCTTCACAGGAAAGGGGCTTGACCAGGAAAGGCCGGCTCCTCGAGGCCCCGGAGGCATTTCACAGCAGCAGCTCATCCAATTCCAGGCTGTTTTTCATTCTCCTGCATCTCAACGCACCATCCACAGATCTTGGCTGCGATTATCTGCTTCCTATAAGCAGAGGCTGCTGCACCACTTGGCACGTCATGCTCAGCTCCGCCCTTGGTAATTCCATGAGGTGTGAACACTGGCCTTGTGAAGGTGCCAGCTGTGTCTGTGCATAACAAGCCCCCAAAAAAGAAAAAAAGAAAAACAGGAAAGGAAGACAAAATTGGTAGCGGATGAACCTCTCTGAGGAGAACACAGACGTGGATAGATCTGTAGTTGGTGATTTTTAAAGCCAGATTGTGTGTGGCCCAGGGGTCTAACAGGGTGGGAGTCAACTCAGTGCTGGCTGGGGAGGGACAAGGAGTGTGCCTAGGGTTAGGTAAGGCAGGGAGGCAGGTGCCCACTGCTCTGTGCCTTGGGCAGGGTGGGTCATGGGAAGTGGGCAGTGCTGTGAGCAGGGAGCAGTAATGGCTAGCTGTTGGCCACACCACAGTGAAGTCCAGCCCTGATGCTTATGGACACCTGTGACAGCTCAGCCTGCTGGGTTACTCTTTCAGCCCACAGAGAGGGGTGTTACTGGTGCCACTATCACCTGCATTCATGGGTAAGGAGACCCAGAGGCATGAGACTGTCTGACACTGGTCACAGCAGTAGGTGGCAGAGCCAGGGCTAACCCTAGCAGCATGGCTCAGGAGCCTCCTCTTGACACCAGTAGCAAGCAGGGCCTGAGACCCAGACTGGCAGATTATCAGAACCCATTCAGGGTCCTCTCCCCATGGTGGAAGGTGGCAGACCCTCCCTGTGAACTCTGGTCCCACTGGGCATGGCTCCTCTTGGCCCCTTGCGTCCCATTTCTGCTCAGGCCTCTGTGATGGGCGGGGCCACTGTGCACCCTGGGGACACTCCCTCCATACCCTCAGCCAAGAGCTCTACAGTTGCAGAGGCAATCTGCCACCCTCTATCCCCCAAGGCTCATCCTGCCCACTGGTACTCACACAAGCCAGCATCTGGTGCCCCGGGGCCTGTCTCTCGATCAAGGGAGGCTGGAAGGAAAATGCTGAGTTAAAATCATGGAAACAGTTGGGCAGATCGTGGGGGTCTGGACTGATGTGACATGCAGCAGGAACTGTTATAAGGTCTTCCTTCCCTCCTCTATCCACCCATCCGTGAGTTTACTGCTCAACCCTCAGCACCCAACACAATTCTTGGTATACACTTGGTGCTCAGTAAACGTCTTCTGAACAAATGGAAGAGCAGGGCAGGATGAACACTCCTCCCTAACTTACTCTGCCTCTGCAGTACCAAACCACATTGCTTTCTTGGATTGGCCCAGCTTTCCCATCCCTTCACGCTGGCCGTGTCTGGACAGTGTCCCCTCCACCAGCAGCCAGCACCTCTCTGATCCCTCAGGACTGGCCAAGGTTTCCCTCCTTGGGGAACATCTCTTCTTCCACGCCCCCCTAGCCTGCCTGGCTCTCCCCTGTCACACACTGACCCGAGCAGTCTGCTTACCTATGCTTGTGCCCATCTCAGTCCCAGCCCTGAGCTTGGGGACCCTGCACCCATGCAGGAGACTAACAGGAGGGTCTGGTGCCAGAACCCTTGGGTGCATCCCGCGCTGCTCTTGCCTCAGCTCCGGCTTCCTGAGCTCCGTACAATATGGGCTCACGTGGTACCAGCTGGTAGGGGTGCAAGGAGGACAGGAAGACTTCATACACGCAGCGCCTCAGAACAGTGACCCGCATGTTTAAGTGCCATGCCGATGGCAATTATTCCTCATAACAGATTGTCAGAGGCAGAGCTACCGTGCGCATTCAGTGAACCCATGAGGCAGGGTGAGATGACCAGTCCTGCACCCACACCCACCAGGGCCTGACACCATCACTTCCACACCTGTGTGGGATTCCAGACAGCAGGTGACTGCACTGTGGCCACCTGTCCCTCAAATGCCTACACCTGGATAAGGAAATCCTGTAGTTAGGGGTTCTGCATTTCTATGAGCCCAGGTAAAAAATACCAGCAGCTTTGACAGTATTTAAAAGATAACTAAGAGCAATTTACATTTCTTTCCTGGAAGTCAATACAGGGTAAAACATGACCCAAAAGGGAAAACTGGACTCTTACAGGTTGTTCAAAATAAATGCAACAATAATCACAGTATCTATTCGCTTTTTTTTTTTTTTTTGGCATGTTAAGGCTCCTTAAAAATAAAGAAAGTTCTGACAGATACTGAAAGGTAAACTTAAAGGCTGGTTCCTCTTCAGCTGTTCATCAATTTAAAACACACAATTTAAAAGGCAAAAATTTGGCTGCTAATCTAGTTTCAAGAGTCAGTTTGGAAATAGTTCCTAAAAAAAAAAATAAAATAAAATGAGCAACCAGAGAAAGGAACCACTTGAGGGAAATAGTTGATTTTATTTTAAACTTTCAAAATACAATTATGAAACAAGTCTTCAACTACCAGAAGTCCTTAGCAGTGGTGCTGGCTGGTGTGTGGTGTGCCCTGTGGGGGATCAGTGTTTGTTACTACTCCTTCCCAGAGCTCAAATTCCATTTGCGTAGACCTTTAGGGGGTCCTGGTTGGGAGACCCTGAAGCAATGGCTAAGCGCTCCCTTCTGCCAACACACATGCTGGAGAAACTTAGCCAGATTGCTCTGGACAATATTAAGGGGTACCTAGAATTACCACAAATTTTCATCAAATCACATGTTTACCAGCAATCAGCCATATGGTACTGCAAAGTCACCTAAATCCTTGTCACTTCTATAATTCAATTCCCTAGTTTTCCTGATCTCACATTCTAGACAAAAGTGTTTCTGCACATTTATTACTTGTGAGATAAGCTCCAATTTTTTTTTTTTCAATCCCAAGAGGACCATTTGCATCCTCTGTTTGTTTTGGCCATCATGCCATCAAACCTCCAAGACACCTGCCCCACCACACATAGGTGACCAGACTTCACTTCTTCAAAGCATCCCAGATGCTTCAAAAATGAGAGTCACCAGCTACAGTGAAATGAATCATCTTTCTCAAGAC